GGGGGGGGGGGGGGGGGTGGGTGCAGGGGCTAGGCTCGTTAGAAGTTTCCCTAGCAGACTGCTGTCAGAGTTGCAATGTGAATGCGGCTTGTGTCAAACTGAGGCAGATTGTCTTGCAGGGGTAGGGGCTGTGGCCCTGTAGATGCGAGAGGTGAGGGGAGTAATTGGTCTCACTCGGATGACATGGTGAGCAAGCAGATGACCTGCTGGCAGGCCAGTTTCCCCTCTCTCTTTGAAGGCTGTGGCAAATTGGGTATTGATCTTGAGTTTTTTCAACAAATAGTATAAACGCATGCTAAGCTGGTTATGTTTTTTTTTTTTTTTTTGTGCAACAGGTGAGTGTGGTGCAGGACTCCGTAAACATCTCAGGCCAGAACACCATGAACATGGTGAAGGTGCCTGACTGCCGACTGGCCGACGAGCTGGGCGGCCTCTGGGAGAACTCGCGCTTCACCGACTGCTCCCTCTGTGTGGCAGGACAGGAATTCCAGGCCCACAAAGCCATCCTGGCAGGTACAGCTCCTTACGAGAAGAGTAACCACACAGTAGACTGTATACACCAAGAGTAACCACGCCGTACACTGTATACATCAAGAGTAACCACGCCGTACGCTGTATACACCAAGAGTAACCATGCCGTACGCTGTATACATCAAGAGTAACCACGCCGTGCGCTGTATACACCCAGAGTAACCACGCCGTACGCTGTATACACCAAGAGTAACCACGCCGTACGCTGTATACATCAAGAGTAACCACGCCGTACGCTGTATACACCAAGAGTAACCACGCCGTACACTGTATGCAACCAAGAGTTACCACGCCTTACACTGTATGCAACCAAGAGTAACCACGCCGTACGCTGTATGCACCAGTTCAGTATTCTAAGGGAGTATGGCTGGCCAAAAACCTGAACCCGGAGCCTCATGACGGCGAGACCGGCAGACCATGCAGAGACCAGAGAGACCATGCACAAAAGCTAATATAACGCTGTCACATTCTTATGCTGGACCGATATTGATAAATCAATGGCGCCTTGGAGGAAATACAATCACGTAAATGTCTCACTTCTCTGTAATTTAACCTGAGGCACATACCCAAAAGCAAGTGAAAGGTTTTAATTTAGGCAGTCTATTAGTGCACGTGCTTTCCAGTAAATACGGTCTTTATGCACGCTGCTCACTATATACTGTGTTTATATTTGTACTTCTAAAACAATGAGCTGGTCTCCTTTTATTAATTGTGATTTTTGTTAGTTGTGTCTGTGCACATCCTGCACTGGGCTGGCTTCCCATCCTGGGTGTGTACCCTGCCTTGTGTCCTGTGCTACCTGTGCACCTGGGATGGGCTCCAGGCTCCATCTGCAAGCCTGTACTGGCTAAGTGGTGCAGCATGGATGGTTGTTTGTAGTAGCAGTAGTAATATTAGTAGTAGTAATATTAGTAGAGTGATTTGTATATAAATAAAATGTCATTTCTGCTTCTGCAATATGGCGGCTTGTTGTAATCAGTCTTCGTCTTGCTATTGTCTTTCGCACGGATGGCCAGATAGTTACCAAAGAATTGTGAATTAATCAAATGAAGCCCTTCACTCGTGCCTGCTTCTGATTGGACGTAGGTGGCGATGGTGCAAAATGGCACCTTGTTAAAATGGTGCACGCTAATAGGAATATGTCAGTGTCTTAAATGATTGCTGCTTGGTGGAATTATGACCCTCCGATTAATTACAGAGGGACCTTTTAAAGTTCACATATTTATGAATGCTTAGAACGTGAGCGCAGTAGTACTGAGTAGCATGACTGCGGATCTTTTCTGGAGGGGCTTATTTCTTAATGGCTCCTTTTGGTAGAACCTGGTGGTTGATTTTCCCCCAGGAGACCCGTAGTTCACATGCTTAGGACAGATGCTGTGGAGTCAGCTGGTTTCAGCATCACTGTAGCCGAGCTCTTTGGGCACCGAAAGTCCTTCTTAGGGGAGGGATTACAACCGGATATTCTGAATGCCTCACTTCCGACACCGGCCAGCAGGTCGGCGCCACTGATTCCTGTCCCTCTGTCTTTCAGCTCGCTCGCCCGTGTTCAGCGCCATGTTCGAGCATGAGATGGAGGAGAGCAAAAAGGTGAGTGGTGAGGCATGAGAGAATTCTCCATATCGATCGCCCCCCCCCCCCCCCCGGCTGCGCGGTTGCTGCGGCAGCCCCCAGCACTGTGTGTCGCTTCTTGTCGCTAATTAAATTCCAAACGGAGGCTGTGGAAACGGGGGCACACGCTGACCCCTTCCCACCCCGTGCACGTTCTGCCGGGATCCCAGGAGTCGGCCACAGCCGTCCTCCGCGCTTTTCTTTAACACAGCCGCACTCCGGTCTCTCTTATTTTTGCTATCCTCAAAGGGAACCACTGGCTATTTTTAGGTCCCACTTTTCAATTTCGAAGCACAATTAGCTCGCCCCTATTGGGCCTCGTCGGTAAATAACGCCAACGCCTGTCAGCGTGGCTCCATAGGAGGCGGGGAGTCTGGGCTCCGGCTGCGTTTTCTGGGGCACTAATGAAAAACAAACAGGCCCCCAGCGCTGCGTTTTTGTTTTCAAGGTGTTAAACCTGGGGGTGGCCACGGATCACGTGTCATTTTCTGGTACCTCGGGGCCATGTTCTCTGCCGGCAGCCTCCCTCCGGTGCTATTTCCAGTGCGGCCATGGAAGGTGCCCCTCTGTACCTTGGTGCTTTCACCTCTCTTGCATCAGAGAGCCACCTCCATCTGGCTGCCGAGCCACAAGACAGAGGGCAGGGCATCAGCCCCTGGAAGAATGACGCCCTCAGGTCGAGCAGGTTGGGTTTTTTAGAATCTATTGGGTAAACATACCGCCGCATTTACCACGGCTGCAGCAAAATGAAAATGCACGTGTAGAAACCGGATCGAGGAGTAGGAGTCCACCAAAGCCGGAACGAGCCGGAGATTCTCCCGTCACCATGCCGACGCGGACGGAGTTAAAAAAATGGCTGCCTTGCTCGTGCCTCGCAGGTGGCGGAAGCCGGCAAACTCCGGCAGCCGTGGGGGGGGGGGGGGAACGCCTCCAAGCCTGCTCGGGGGAGACCCACATGATTGGGATCACCGCCTTCGCCCAGGACGTGCCGCACTCCCACGCCTCGCCGCAGATGGGAGCGGCCACCAGAGCTGACGCAAGGCATCGTGGGCCGGTTTTTCAGCCCGGCAGGGGGGCGGAGAGTGGCAGTGGCAGAGTCATGGAGTCGGGGGTGATTTAGCGGCCGTGTCACTCTAAAATTGATGCCTGCGAGCTCAGGTGGGAAATAAGGCGGTGAGGAAGAAATACATTTTAATTGCTGTTTAAGCCGCTCCGCTCGTCCCGGAGAACAGGATCCATCTCCATATTTAGACTGAGGAAGCTGATAAATAGGTTAACCGTCTCACGCGGAAGGCCGCAAAGACAAATGGGGCAGTTTAAAAGGAAAATATATTTAAATATTCCGGCTTTCTGTCCGCTCTCCACCTTCCCTGAAACCTTGCTTCTCTTTCGACGGTAGCGCGAAGTTCATTTTTCCTAATTGCGTTCGGGTGTCGGAGCAACGCGATGCTATGTTAAAGTGGAAGATTACCACGGCTGTCCCCTTGGGCCATGGGGCTCCCCCCGCCCCTGAAGACCTGACGGGCGTTGGTGGGTGCGCTGTCGGAGATCAGGATCATGCGTCACTTTCTGTGAGTTTCGGGTTTTTGGCGGACGGCTGTCACAGCCTTTCCAAATAGGCATGTTCTCGAATGACGGCCAGCTTCCTTACCTGTTCCCCCCCCCTCCTCCCCCAAATCTATTTATATCATGTCTTACTCAAAGGTATCACAGCAGTGTTACCCGAGGCTTGAACCTTTAACCTTCTCCTTTCAAGTCTCCGACCTTAACTGCCATGCCTCCGGCGTTCTGGGCAAAGAACGGCCCCGCTAAGTCCGGACGCAGCCTGCGACCCCAATGCCTCCTGTTAATCAGGCTCGTCAAGTGCTCGTTAAACCCCCACCCAAACCGCGGGCGTCACGCCCAGCGGCAGTGCGTAATCGTGGTGGGCTTCGGGCGGCTTCCATCGTTTATATCCAGGCCATTATCTTTGATTGGCGAGACACGGCCTCTGTCAGCTGGGGGCATTTCAGACTATTTAAAGTACACCCCCTGGACTGAAGCAGTGTCACACAGCATTGTTGTGAGTTATTTAAGGTTGGGAAGGCAATTTGCGCTCAGACCTGGGAGTGATTTTTGGGTATTTTTCTTTTCTTTGCCATCTGTGGCATTGAAAAGTGGTTGATAAAAAGCTTTGAAATGCCTCCCTGCTTCCCCATCGTCAGGCAGTCTCAAGCGCGGCTTGTCATGGAACGCGCTAGATGTGCAGCATGCGTTTTTTTTAAAGTAGTTTGAATCTTAATGGTGGTTTGGGAGTCTCATTCAGCAGGTAGGGCTGATGTTACAGGAATTGATTTTTATGTATAGCCGAGTTCGAAAAGCATTAGATAAACCTCCACCCCCAACCCCCACCCACTTCTCCCTGCACAGAATCGCGTGGAGATCAACGATGTTGAGCCTGAGGTCTTCAAGGAGATGATGTGCTTCATCTACACAGGCAAGGCGCCCAACCTGGACAAGATGGCAGACGACCTACTGGCCGCAGCAGACAAGGTGAGACTTCAGAAGACTTCAAACACCAGGCGTGACGTGCACGCGCGCACATGCGCCCCTGTCAACTCATGCCCCCGGCTCGGCGCCTTGTCCAGTGATCTTTAAACGTCAACAATAACATTATTGTTTACTAGGGATGTATACAGGGGCGTGACAGCAAGGGCAACTGCCACAGCTGAAAGTTGATTGGCTCTCGGAGTGCCTTCCCTCATGTCACTCACAAATCCGAAACACGTCATTGGCTAATAAGGTTGGCCCCCTGTATGAATCACCCCTGTTATTCAATGCATCGCCTCACCTCTAACTCAGACTAGCTAGTGATGAAGGAAGCGAAGGCAGTGGAAGTGGAGAGAGTAACGCCTGGGCTTCTGTGGGTTCTGTGGTGCCGTCGTGGCGGTGACTCTGAGGGCTCCGTGGGCCTTCAGAGAGATCCCAGGGGGAACCTGCTCGCCCGCTCCTGCACCGCCGCCTCCCCCCAGTGACGGGTTCTGGATAATAGCCGCTCATCCCAGGAGGCGTGTGGCCGGCTCTCCGTCAGCCTAGCTGTGCTGACGTAACTGGAAGCGGGAGCCAGACTGGGGGGCCTTGGTCAGGGTCTGTAGAGGGAGGGGTCTAGGTGTGATGTTCCACTTGAAGTTAGCGGGTAGAAACACCATGTCGGAGAACAAGCCCTTATGATGCTAACAGGCTTTTAGCTGGGATCTGCTCTGTGCTGCTCCTCATTTGTCTCTGATCCCCCCCCCCCATCTGGTTCCCTCACCACCTCCTCACTCTCATTTTCTATTCGTATAACCCCCCCCCCACACCCCGCCACAGTATGCGCTGGAGCGTTTGAAGGTGATGTGCGAGGACGCCTTGTGCACCAGCCTGTCGGTGGAGAATGCTGCAGAGATCCTCATCTTGGCCGACCTGCACAGCGCCGACCAGCTCAAGACGCAGGCTGTTGACTTCATCAACTAGTGAGTGGCCCGGCCCCTTTCTCAGATGCCCCGCCCCTTTCTCAGATGCCCCGCCCCGCCCCTTTGTGTGAGGCCCCATCCCCGATGCTGATGTCCAGGGGCCCTCTGAGATGCTACCAGAAGCCAGTTCTCTCATTTTTAATACATAAGACTTGGAAGTAGGAGAGTCGCTGAGGTGGAATAGCACTTGCACGGCCGGCTGCCCGCATTTTTTAAAAAGCGCTCTGCTCAATTGGGAGCTTCATAGTGTTCCAGGCCTTGTTCCTCATCCCATCAGAATCATGCTGCCGTACAGCCACCACCCATGGATGGCCTGTCAGCCGCACGCTCCCTCTTCCTCACCCCCTCTTCATTCTGTGGTGGTTTTCTAGACATAAGGCTCCAACCGTAGAAGGCACTTTAGTGCCCCCTGCTGTGCCGGAGTGTTGAGTTGGCCAGATGTTTCAAACCCAATCTGTTTGGTGGGTGACACTGGAACAAAGTGTTGAGCTTTCTGATATGGTCGTTAAATTTTTCAATGATAAACATACTAAAAAAATTGCTTAGAGCCCCAAACAGGTGCTATTGGAGAAACGTAGGCTGAATTTTAATGATTCCTAATACTAATTATTCCACCCCCCCCCCCCCCCCCCCCCCC